TATGGTTTTCATATAAATTTTAAGATTATTTTTCAATTTCTCTGAAGAATTGTGTTGAAATTTTGATAGAGGTTGCATTTAATCTGTAAATTGCTTTTGATATGGTAGCAATTTTTACACTATTAATCCTGCCAATCCATGAACATGGGATATCTTTCCATCTTCTTTAGTTTCTTTCTTCAATCTCTTCAATATCATAAATACAACTCTCTTACTCCCTTAGATTTGTTCATATGTATTATTGTATACACATGCACACACTGTAAGTGATTAGAATTGCTTCTCAGTACATACTGAGAAAGAAATACTTAGGATCTTGTATAGGATCATATCTTCAAATAAGGCTACTTTGTCTTCTTTCTTTCACATCACCCTCCTTCACATGTATTATTGCTCTAGCTAAGACTTCAAGGCCTATGCTCAACAGGGATCCTTGTCATGTGCTTGATGTTAGTGGCAATGCTTTGTGTTTATCTCTAACTTGATGTTGGGTGGCTTGTTGCCTTTAATAAGTTGAGATATATCCTCTATATCCCTAGATTCTCCAAAACTTTGGTCATGAAGGGACTTTGAATTTTGTCAAAGACCTTTTCTAAGTCCAAGATCATGTGGTTTTTGTCCTTAGGTCATTTTATGTGGTAGATTACATGTATTTGTTTATTTTTATTTTTTACTTTTTTAAGAAAAAAAAAAAAACAAAGGCCTTACTATGTATTTCTAGTTGGCTTGTAACTCACTATGAAGACTAGACTGGTCTCAAACTCAGAGACTTGCCTACCTCTGTCTTCCTAAAGTCATGTGCTGCCATGCCTGGCTCAGATTATATTTATTGATTTATGCATTTGAACCACACCTCCATCTCTGGAATGAAGCCAACTTGATCATGGTAGATAATCTTTTTGATGTGCTTTTAAATTCTGTTGCAAAAATGTTTTATTGAGAATTTTTATTTTTGTGTCTGTGTTCATCAGATTGGCCTATAATTTCTTTCTTTTTTTTGTTAAATCTTTGTCTGCTCTTTTTGTCTTTTTGCGTAAGAGCAATGTCGGCCAAAAAATAGAATTTAGAATTGTTCTTTCCTTTTCTATTTTACAGAATAATTTAGGAGGTGTTAGTGTCAGCTCAAGAAGTTCTGGTGGACTTTTGAGCTATATGCAGATATTACTGGGTTTTGTTATTCGAGGGACTCTATATTACTGTTTCTATCTCATTGGTTGTTATGGGTCTATTTAAATTATTTGCTCCATTTTATTTAACTTTGGTAGGTCACATATGTCTAGACTTCATCTATTTCTTTTAGATTTTCATGTTTAGTGGCATATAGGTTTTTAAAGCATGTCTTTATGATTATTTGAATTTCCTTTATCAGTTGCAATGTTTAAAGTCTCCTTGTCATATGTCAGTATAGTTATGCCTGCTCGTACTCAGTTCCATTTGCTAGAATTGCCCTTTGCCATGCTTTTACCATAAAGTGGTGTCTTAAGGTTTCTATTGCTGTGAAGAGACACCATGATCGTGGCAGCTTTTATAACAGAAAACATTTAATTGAGGTGGCTCACTTACAGTTTCAGAGGTTTTGTTCATTATCATCATGGTGGGGAGCATGGCAGTGGGCAGACAGATGTGGTGCTGGCTCCCTCTTGATCAGAAGGCAACAGGAAATGGTCTCAAGGTCACAGTGAGCAAACTTCAGCAAAAGAAAGCTCAAAGCCCGCCCCCACAGTGACACACTTCCTCCAACAAGGTCACGCCTACTCCAACAAGGCCACACCTCCTAACAGTGCCACTCCTTCGACTTTATGGGGGCCAATTACATTCAAACTACCATAGGTGGAATCTGTCATTAATGGAGAGATGTGCTTTTTAGAGGCAAAAAAGCTGGACCCTGTTTTTTTTTTGTTGTTGTTTTTTTTTTTTTTGGATTTTTCTAGACAGGGTTTCTCCATAGCTTTTTTGGTTCCTGTCCTGGAACTAGTTCTTGTAGACCAGACTGGCCTTGAACTCACAGAGATCCACCTGCCTCTGCCTCCCAAGTGCTGGGATTAAAGGCATGCGTCACCACCGCCCCGCCTTGGACCCTGTTTTTTAATCCAGTCTGTTAGTCTGTATATTTTGGAGGGGGTGGTAGATTGAATATGACTGGTAATTTTTCTGGGTATTATACTCTGGGATGGCATCTGTAGTCCTTCAGAATGTATAGCACATTAGTCTAGGGTCTGTTTGGCTTTCGAAGTCTCCATTGAAAAGTCCATTGTTATTCTAGTGCCAATGCTTTTATTGGCAAGTGCCTTTCCTCTCTTGCCACTTTAATGCACTTTCTTTGTCTTGTGTATTTGGTGTTTTATTATGTGACACAAAGGCTTTCTTTCCTGGTCCTGTCTAGTTGGTGTTCTTTATCCTTCTTTTACCTTAATAAGCATCTTTTTTTTTTTTTGTTCATAGAGTTAGTAAGTTTTTCATGATTTTGTTGAAATATTTTCTGTGCCTCTGTTCTGAGTCTTCTCTCATTCTTCTACACCCACAGTTCTCTACCTGTGGGTTTCAAGTCTGGGGGAGGGAGCAGTGTCAAATGACCCTTTCACAGGGGTTGCCTAAGACCATTGGAAAACACAGATATTTACATTACAATTCATAATAGTAGCAACATCACAGTTATGAAGTAGCAATGAAAATAATTTTAAGGTTAGGGATCGCCACAGCACAAGGGACTGTATTAAAGGGTCGCAGCATAAGAAGGTTGAGAGTCACCTATTATTCGTACCTTTGCCTTTTTATATAGTGACCCAGAGTTTCTGCATGTTGCTTCCAACATTTTCTTAGACTGAATGTGTTCCTCTACCTTGTCTTCAAGACCTGATATTCTCTCTTCCATGTGGTCCATAAGTTAAGCTTAACTCTCAGCTTTTTGTTTGACTTCTTGAGTTTTTAATGTTTTATTCAAGCTTATTATTCTCTTTTCATATCATGAATTGTTTTCATGATTATTCAAGATGTTTGTGTTTCTAGACTTCATTCAGGCATATACTCACGTGTTCTTTGAGTTCCTTGGACATATTCATAATTGCAATTTTGAAATTATTACCTTGTGCACCAGCCAAGTTGATTTTCCCAGGGATCATTGTGCTATGGGTTCTAATCTCTAGAAGAGACATATCATCTTGGCTTTTCCATATTGTTTGTATGTTTGCAATAGGAGCGAGGTATCTGGAATTTAGTCACTAGTGGTATTTCTTAATATGGATATGTGGTCACTCTTGAGTGGGTATTTGAATCTTAGTTTGTGTTACCCCAGTTTGTCAGGTTGTGCACCAACTCAATGTTTCTTGGTGTTCAGTCTTGGGACTCTGTGTGTTCATGTACAAATGGAGTGTCAGAAATGACCTCAATTCAATTAGGCATAGGCACAACTTCTCAGCCTAGGAGAAGTTTAAAAGACTCTTGCTGCTGATCTGTGGGTGTCTATGGAGGGATTATGGGGTTTTTCAAGTGGCCCTTGAATGTCAGAGGATGGAGTCACAATGAAAGTGGAGGCACTCCATGGGGACAGAGCACAGAATGCCATACCATCCTCAGATAGAGGTGGGTGAGGTTGAATCCAGCCAAAGTCCTAAGCACACTTGGCCTACACTGAGGGCGTTCTCTTTCTCCTCGAATATCCTCCTGCCCCTGTAGCCCTCAAATGCAGCTGCTTGCAGACTTCTCCCTAGCTCAGTTTGACTTCCTTCTCCTCTTATGCATCTTCCTTATGCTTCCAAGATTTAAGCTGGTCTCCCACTCATTTTTCATCCAGACTCTAATGGTCCTTGAACTTTAAAGAGTTTTTCTCCCATGGTCTATGAAATATTTTAAGTATATCTTTAATATTTTTCTTGCAGAAATTTTTTGAGATAGTAGCTTTAGCTGGCCTGGATCTTGTTGGCTGTGTAGACCAGGCTGGCCTTGAACTCACAGAGATCCACCTCTCTCTGCCTGTGCTGGAATAACAAGTATGTGCTACCTCATCTAGTCTAAAAGTATCAGAAGCAAAGAATACTGAGCTTGAAATGATTGTTTCACCTGCGCAGTGGTATTTTCTCAAAAGTAGAAAGACATTTGGTGATATGTTTTCCAAATGTGCTTTTAAAATTAAGTCCAGATGCTTGAACTATCTAAGCATAAACCATGAAAGGCAGCTCTTAACATAGAAACTTTTTAGTTTCATCTATCTATCTATCTATCTATCTATCTATCTATCTATCTATCTATCATCTATCTATCTGTCATCCAGCTATCTCTCAATTATATCTCTCAATCTATCATCTACCTATCATCTATCAATCTATATTCTACCATCCATCATCTATCTAACTATCAATTGTCTGTCTGTCTGTCTGTCTTACGTGTGTTATATATACATGTCAGGGTGGGCTAAAGGTGCCAATGTGGGACTGGATGTCAGAGGAGGATGCTGGTGCTCGTTTTACCATTCTCTGCTTATCGCTTGAGAAAATTCTCTCATTGAACCTGGATATAGCGTGACTGCCAGCAAGCCCCAATGATCCTTCCACCTCTACCTTCCACAGCCTGAACTCAGTTATGTGTAAGGCAAGTGCTCCCACCTGCTCCTGTCCCTTCAGCTGTCGCCCCAGTTCAATAATAAAGCTTTTAAGGGTGTGTTCAGATTAGCATGAAACCTATCCCATGCATGGATACTCCAAACATGACCTATAAGCACAATCAAGTCAGTACTCTACTCCAAGAAAAGGAGAGTTTGCTCACTATACTAGTATGCCCTGGTGAATAATCACTATTAACTAGATCCCTTTATTCCCTACATGATTTAGAGTGAGAAGATACTCCCATGTCAAATTTTAATAGCATAGCCTAGCAAAACCATTACTAAAACCTAAATTGTCTTCACTAATGCTTGAGATATACTTAGATTTTATCTCTTTTAATTGTTTGCAACTAATGAGATGCTTATTGTGATAAATAATCTACTACTCAATCATGTTTTTCAGACATCATAAACTAGAAGATGCTGGTATAGCAGGCATAACTGAAAAAAAAGAAGACATCAAACCTGAAAAAAGTCCTGAAAAAAGCACACAGCACTCAAAACCATGTGTGGACAGAAGACGTGTCAATTACGCTAAGTTCATTCACACGAATGCAAGGACATACAACGAGCCAGTTCCCTACATTGACAGCAAAGGGCCGTCGAAGCAGGTTGGACAGACGTTTGCTGTGTGCAGATAGGGTTAGACTCAGAAGCTGCTATGCGGGACAGTTTGATCCCCGTCTGTTTGAAGGACATGGCGCATGGCAGCGTAGTGCTGCTGTAACCAGTGGTTAAAGCAGCAGCCTGGAGCGCTTCCGGCAGAGATTATTTGTGTATCTGGGAAGAGTCCGATGAGTCACGTTTCGAGAGCACCACGTTGTAGCATGTAGTGCTCCTTGAGCGCTGCTGAGAAGCGTTCGGTAGGGTCATGTTTGTGACGTGTGCTAATATGGCACTCCCGTGCTTTTCGGAAATTCAGGCGTCCTACAAGAGTGCCTTCCACTCATTGGCTGCACACGTTAGCTGACAGACATTCATGCTTCTAATTGTGTGATCACTGTCCTGTAATCATGTCTTCTCCATGTGTACCTGTATGGGATTTTTTCAACTTTGTGTTGTCACAAAGAAAACATTTTAGAAAAAAATTATTGCTAGGAATAAGCTCAATTTTATGTAAAGTATATTCCTTAATCTCTACAAGTTCTATGAGGCATTATTGAAAACGTTTTACAGATGATCCTCCAGTGTGGTTACAAAGCCAGCAGCATTCTTTGTGGCCCAGGACTACTGGCCAAGCCAAGCGCCCCTCACTCTATACACCCTAGGTACATTATTTTTTAAGTCGGGGTTGTTGAAGGGTAGTTTGTTGTATTTGTCTCCTATTGTTGTGGTTATCCATTACAAGCCTCAATACCGGCTTTAAGCCACACGGATCTACTTCCAGGCAGTCCTGAGGTTGGAAGTCCCAAGTCAGCCAGTATCACTGACTCCTTGTAGGGCTCCGAAGGGAGACTCTGTTCCTTGCCTTCCCCAGCTTTTATACCTCGGCTTATGGCACCTGCCTCTTCAGAGCCATCAGCATCACAGCCAAGCCTGTCCTCCTGACGGCTACCCCACCTTCGTCTTTGGAGGACCTGTGAGATAACTGTGGTCCATCCAATACTCCAGAGTAGTCCCTCATCTCAAAACTCCTGCTGGCAGCTAGTGCCCTTTGCAGTGCGAGGCAACCGCTCACAAATTCAGAGATTCAAGCAGGAGTGGATTTGGCTGATCAGAGCAACGCTTTTCTAATCATGTGCTTACACTGTAGATCTCACCCACTCTAATGTGTAAGACATGTTACCCCCCATGTACAGTTTGTGGCTTTAAAAAAAATCATCCCAGAAAAAAAAAAAAAGCAGTTCCAGTTTGTTCACACGCTCTGTTCTCGCTCGTCCACCCTCTCTCTGCCACTCTGTGCTTTCCGACTCTGGGTAAATAAGCTCTGACTTCCTTATCTGTAGAGCAAAGATAGCAATTATCTCTTCTAGTAGGAAGGCTGCTTGTTTGTTTTCCCGGCTGCCCAGACTCCTGAAATAATCACACAGAAACTATATTATTTAAATCATTGCTTGGCCAATCACTTAAGCGTATTGCTAGCTAGTTCTTACATCTAATATTAACCCATTTCCAGTAATTTATATTTTATCACGAGGTTTGTGGCCTACCTGCAAACATGTCTTTTTCTGGCAGTGGCTCCATGGCTTCTCCCTCTCTCCACCTCCTTTTTCCCAGCATTCAGTTTAGTTTTCGCTACCTAGCTCTACTCTTTTGCCCTATCACAGGCCAAGACAGTTTCTTTATTAACCAGTGGTATTTACAACACACAGAGGGGACTCCCACATCAATCTCTCAGAGGGATTTTATGAGGATTTGTTGTGAAATGACACACAGACACACATCTTCTGGCCCCGGACAGGGAACCCATGACAGACCAAAGTGCAGACACCACCAAGGTCTGACTTAGGGAACCAATGCGGTTTACTGGGGTTGCTTCCAGGAGTGTAGGTGACAGGTTATTTCCTGGAGCAGAAATGACCCAAAGGCAGCTTCATCTGCAGGGTCCACCCCAGTATGGCTCACAGCTCCCAAAGCCGGGAAACTGGAGCACAGTGTGTAGCCTGCAGGCAGCTTAGCAGGTTGGAGAGTGTCCTGTCCAGGTGACTCTGCTCTAACCCTCTTCCAGGCAGCTCGGCTGGTTTCTGCTTCCTCCAGGCAACTGGTCTTGTCTGAGTATTTTTTTTTCCAACTCAGTTTCCTTCCTTCTGAGAAGGGCTCTTAGCTGTCTTCATTACTTACTCTTGGTGTATTACTTACACTAGGGAGGGACCTAGTCAATGCTGTCAGTTTCAGAGACTTTCTGAAGCCATTTTGAGTTACTTATCTTCCCATTTAAAGAACTTCCTATAGGATGGAATGTTTGAATCTGTGAGGAAACTGCTACACAACAGTTAAAGTCGATACTTTGGTTAAGCCCCTTCCTAGATGCTGGGAATTCAGCAGTGAGCCAAATAAATGGGGGAAACGCCCTGACCTTGGGCTGCTTATACCCTAATGGAGGAATGAGGCATAGTAAACTAACTAGGATGCTGGGTGGTGTGGGCTGGCAAGAGGGACAGGAGGCCTGCTGGCGGGAGAATTGCAATTGTGCTTCTCTTTTAATTTTATTTCTCTCTTTCTCTCTCTCTCTCTCTGTCTGTCTGTCTGTCTCTCTCTCTCTCTCTCTCTCTCTCTGTGTGTGTGTGTGTGTGTGTGTGTGTGTGTGTGTGTGTTACAAGAGTCTATTTTCTTCTTCCATTGAGTCCTATGGGAGCAACCTCAGGTCGTCAGACTTAGTGGCAGGCGCCTTTACCTGCTGAGCCATCTTGCTGGTCCAGAGCTGTGTTATTAAATAGGTGATCAGAAAAGTCTCAAGTAGGTTTTTAGTGGGGAAGTGGCCACCATATAGACCATCCATGATACACAAAGGAAGCCTGGACTAAGCAATTGTTCTTGGGGGCAGAGTCTGATCTGCGCAATCCCGGGACTGCGGGGCTGACTGTATCCTACCGACAGCTGCGTTCTGTTGTAGGAGCCCTAGCAGTGTGGAGTCGCAGTTCATCGTCTCGGCTGCTGAGTGAGAATACTGCACTTTCCCATGTGTGTGTTTTCCAGCAGGCCATTTGTGGAAGGAAGTGTGCCGCCTGAGTGGTCTCAGACACCTCACCTTGTTCCACGTCTTGGTCCTCTCTGGCTAGGTGGAGCTCTGCTCCTACATCATATGTAATGGAAACTGTCTGGGGTCCCTCCATACTGAGGCCATCTACTGTCCCTATGTTAGCAGGGACTGAGTGCTAGCTCAGCATTGAATCTAACTCACTCCCCCCCCCCCCACACACACACACACAGTGCAGACACCAAGGGAACAAGGCTGGGTCAGAAAACAGAAAGAAAAAGAGAAGCTTGAAAAACGAATCTCAAATAATTTACTCTAGCCTGCAGGTACTGTGGAGAACCCCACAGATGTTAGGGTGGGTTATCAGCACAGCTACTGGTGAGAGAAAGAGAGAGAGAGAGAGAGAGAGAGAGAGAGAGAGAGAGAGAGAGAGAGAGGAGAGAGAGAGAGAGGGGAGAGAGAGAGGTGAGGGAGAGAGGAGAGAGAGAAGCATCACAGGTACAGAGGGATTGGCTACAAAGGGAAGGGATGTTCATGTTTCAAAACAAAAACAAGAGCAACAATGACCTTGCGAATGCCCCAGTTTCCAAGAACTTAAAGAAGACTCATTTTATTTCACAAGTATGTAAACTTCGTTCTTTCACTCAAGATAACATTTCTTTTAAAATGTAGTGCAATTAAAATATAGTAATGCTGACTTTAAAATAAAATCAAGCTGCCTGAATATTTTAACTGCTATCTAATGGTACGGTAGAACACTTAGATCTCAGCACCGACTGCTTGATTATATGTTTGGCTGGTTAGTTTGGTAGAACCCTGATATAGGGTAGTGTCTCCCTATGTAGATAGCCCAAGCGTTGAACCTGAAATCCTCCTGCCTCAGACTCCTGAGTGCTGCGATTACAGCTGTGTGTTACCACACCTGGCATTTAGTTGTATTGGTTTATATGTGTGTGTGTGTAATTTTTACCTACAGACATAAAATTATGGGTGCTAGAGGAGGGAAACTGGTTTGCTGCTGTTGTTTGTTTTGCTTTTTCTGTAAAGCTAGTTAACAACAGGAAAACTCTATTTTTAATTTCTAAACATTGGCACTTTCAGGCAGACTGCCCTGGCTTGCTGTTCCCCAAAGTGTAGTTTTCAAAACACTAGTTCTTGCTTGAAAAGAAAAATACTTTTCCAAAGTGAAGTCAAAAGTTTATTTTTAATACCCTTTTCAGAGAGTCATAGTTCTCACTAGTAAATAAAAGTTCTGAGAATCCTGTGATAAGCGTGTTTGAATCTGCTTGAAAATGCTCACCTTTTCCCAGATAGTTTTATCTACGGGAACTCCTTCTGTGTAATGCCTATTAATAAACACATCAGAGACTGGCGTTCCACAGAACACAACATAGAAGCGACTGTTACAGGAGACATTAAGAGTTGCTTTTAAAAAGCTGTTTTCCCACCTCCCTGGTATCTGCTGTTTGAGAATATTGTGACTCCTATGACCGTGGCTGCCTAGTGTTTGTGATAAAACTTATAATTTTTTAAAGACACAGAGTTCTATAATTAAATTCCATCGTCTCTGTAAGGTTTTGTCATAAATCCATATCCTTAAGAATTCTCAGAATGTGATGGTGGTGGTGGTGATGGTGGTGGTGGTGGTAGTGGTGGTGGTGATGGTGGTGGTGGTGGTGGTGGTGGTGGTGGTGGTGATGGTGGTGGTGGTGGTGGTGGTGGTGGTGGTGGTGATGGTGGTGGTGGTGATGGTGGTGGTGGCAGTGGTGGCAATGGTGGCGGCAGTGGTGGTGGTAATGGTGGTGATGGTGGTGGTTGTGATGGTGACAGTGGTGGTGATGGTGGTGGTGGTGATGGAGGTGGTTTTCTTGTTTCGGACAGGAAATTACTATGTAGCTCTGGCTGGCTGCCTGGCCATGAACTCACAGAGATCTGCTCCGCCTCCTGAATGCTGGGATTAAAGGTGTGTATCACAACAACCTGGCTACCTGGCTCTGTCACCACCTGTGGTCTTAGCCAGGCAGCCATGACTGCAAATATGATTCTAGGCCTACAACCTCTTGCATTCACTGAACTAATTTCTCTAGAATGTTCTTCTTGTGTTCACCACTTATTGTCTGAGGAATACCCCATGATTTACCAAAGGAATGGAAGATAGCAATGTCTATGAAAACATATCTGAAAGCTTGAGGATAATATATAATATAGTAACATATATATAATATATACCATTTTCTAATAGTAATCTCCTTGAGCTGACTTCTAAATGTGACCACTGGATCCATATGGCAACAATCAAATTTTTCCAGGGTCAGAAGGTTGTAGAGATCTTTATCAAGAATATGTCAGTATTTTCCCAAAATGAAGCCCCAGATACTAGCATCCTGGGGCTTAAGAGAGATAGGCCTTAGACTACCTTTTTAACTTCCTGTTGGAGCTCAAAGCTTCAAATGGGGCTCAACTCTCTTAGGCAGTGCCCGCTTTACAATCTGTAAAACATGGCCTACCCTCCAAGGCCTAGACAAACGATCACACTCTGCAACATTTCCCAGGTACGTTTATTTTGCCATAAAATAATTGCCAAAGCCAATCAGTGCAGCGTTAGAGTGGACGCAGAGCACTGACGTTTTCGATTAACCTTTCGCCTGAGAATGAGGTAAGACGGCAGGGAGCCTCTATTTCATTAGTCTCATAGTGTCTTATGAGAAAACACTGCAATCAAAAGGCATGCACACATGCATAGGTGCATACATGTTCTCATGACCATGCTTTGCAGGTATGGGGAAGAGGGTCCAAAACAGGAGGGTGCCCCTGAAGACAAGCTGCATCTAGTGTCCAACAGTCTTGAAAGCACTCCAACTACAGAGTCCTCATTTGCCAATCAGACATTAGGAAAAAGTGCTCATTATTTCCTTTATATCTGTGAAATTAGATGGTTTTGATAAAATTCTTAAGGAATTTTACTTGAAGGTGAACCCAAAATCTCTGCTTGCATTATGTTCTAGGGATAAACATGGAGGTCCAGAAATGCCCTAATGGTTCCTTTGCCCAGAGTCAATTTTCCTGTTACCTGAGTACTAGAAAAATAAGTTTCTGCTCACCCAAAGTAGATGATATAAGTATCTGTCTTATGATCTTTTTATAGGAAAACTTGCTCGGGGTAGTTACAGTTATAATATCAAAGTATGTCTCTTCTAAAATGTGTGTAGAAATTTAAATGTCACTGTCAGTGCTGAAAATGAGACCTAGGCTCAGAGGTCTCCATGGGTTGACTCTGTTCTGCCATGAAGGGCAACGCTAGCCTTCTCAGCCTCTCTTTCACCTGGCTGCCTTCTTGTACTTCTTAGACTCCAGAACTGAAAGCCAATAAACGTACCTACATTATAAAGTACCCCATTCATGGTGGTCCGGCTACACAGACTAAGACCCTTAGTGCTTTGAGAGATGATGTGTGTAACCTGGGTTTATCTGCTTTAGCCTTCCACGTGTTGGGAATAGCGCAGAGCTCAGAACTGAGGGCACATACCTTCCACGTGTTGGGAATAGCTCAGACCTTAGAACTGAGGGCACGTGCTAGTCGGCTGGCAGCTGCTGACTACTGCTGTACCTGGAGGGGCTTCTTAACCTCTGTCCTTTCTCATCTGTAAAGGGATGTGTCCGCCTCAGAATTGTGCTTGAAAGTCAGTAAAATAAGGCATATCCGTTCTAGAATTTGGGCATAACAAGTGTTGTCATAATTATGGGATGGAGGAGAAAGCAGGAACTCTGAGACCCGCAGCAAATGACTACTTTTAACCAGATAGTGAGCAGACACCATCTGCTTGTAATCTATTCTAGAGTATTCTTGAGGTCTATACTAAGTAGTCTTAACTTCAAACTCCATGTTTCAGCTCATCCTGGAAATATTGACGTGAGTCAGTTTCAGAGGCCCCCAGTTTCTCTGAAACATGTTGACAATTGTCCACCATTTCAGCACTCTTGGCTGCAAGCTGCTGGCCAAAACCTGGTACTGATTTAAGAAATGGAGATCTGCTTCCTGTGGCCCTGATCTGCTCTCGATCCCCTGGTACATGTGCACCCCATCTTTCCCGGTCTAAGAACACCTCGTAACAAACCACCTGGAGCTCGTAGCTCTGACTCCGGTCACAACAGTGCTCCCTTCCATGTTGTTATACTTGCTTCCCACCCCCACCCCCAAAATAATATTTTTGTTGTCTTTGGCATTCTCACGATTTTACTCTATTTCTAAACTCTGAACAGTGTCTGTCAAGTTGACCCCATTAGACGTTACCCTGAATATGTACGTCTTACATACATGCTTGTCTTTTTAGAAGCTAAACTGATTTGAGAGTGGACTCCTGTGCAGCTACATGGGATGGGCCTAGAAATGCCTCTCCCTTTGTATGGGGGAGGCTTGATTGTCAGAACTAATTATTGTAATCACATATTCATTTTTCTTAAATCATATGGTAGACGTTTTTACTATAGATTCAGAGCTGATTTTTAAAGACATTTATCTTCATTATTTGGATGTGTGAACAGGTTGGTATGGCGCAGGTGTGAGGTCAGAGGGTGGCCTTCAGGAGCCAGTTCTGTCCCTCCACTGTGGGTTCTGGGGGTCAAACTCAGCTTACCAGGGTGGTTTGGTTTCTGTCACTGTGACAAATCACAACCAAAAGTGACTTATGAATGAGTATGGGTTTGTTTGTTTGTTTTGTGTGGGTTGTTTTTTGTTTTGAGTTTTTTGTTTGTTTGTTTTTTTGTTTTTTTGGCTTATGATTCCAGAGCGATAAGAGCCTATTGTGGGCCAGGAAGCAGGGCAGCAAGGGGCAGGAATGAAGTTGAGAGCCCACATCCCCAAAGGCAAGAGCAAAGCAGAGAAAGCAAAGAGGAAGAGAAGAGAGGCTTTAAACTCAAAGGCGCCTTCAGCAAGGCAGCCCCACCAAAAACTTCCCAAACAGCATGTGGTCTCGCCTGCTTAGCCCTCTCACCAGTCCAACATTTAATTCTTAAACCTAAGATCACATTGAACCCTAATCAGATCCCAAACTTCCAGGCATGGGGTTGCCTTAAGGCCTCTCTTCCTCCATCAAGCAGTTTTAGTGTTTCCACCAGAGGGGACTAACCGTTCATTGTGCTCTCAGTTTCTGAGGGTTGAATGGTCCTGGATGCTAGGAACCCATCGGTTCTCTCTTCCATGCAGCGGCTAGTACTAACATTTCAGAAACATTGGAGATCGTTTCCCTTAGGGCAGTTTTTTTTTAGTACAAAAATACATGTTTATGAATTATAAATTGAGGTGAGTTATGTTCAGAACTGTGACATGAAATACAAGAGAGAAGTAGGAAGAACGTCCTACAATAATCATAACAAAAATTCTGTGGTTCACTTTCATATATGTTTAACATTATATAGTTTTGTAGGATTTAACATGTATCCCATTATGTGGGATGGGTTATGGACTAACAACTTTGCAAAATATCATTTAGACAATACATTAGAATAGTACATAATTTTTAGATTAAATCATGATTAACATATGTGTGTGGTCTATACATAAAACATAAATATAAGAAATAAAAAGAAATATAACTACTGTGTTAATTGTTATGACTTTATTACTAGAAGGTAGTGTGGTAATTGAGCAGATATATTTCAGTTAAAATATGTGACTGTTTTTAGATACCATTTCCAAGCTCGTAACCTTGTGAAACATTAACTTCTGTATTTAGGAATCCCTGGAGACAGTCTTAGTGGAGTGCTTGCTGTGGTACCATGAGCTTGGATCCCCAAGATGGGCGTGCCTGTAATCCCAGCAGTGGGGACAAGGATAGGAAAGGCATGGCGGGGGAGGCAGATACGGGCAGATCCCTGAAGCTCACTAGCCACCTACACAGCAGGATTAGTGAGTTCCAGGTTCAGTAGTAGACCCCATCTCAATAAACAAAATGGGGGTGCAACTCAAGAAGACACGGATGTCATGTGCTCCACATGCATGCACATGCATATATATATAGACTTTCACATACACCCTACACAGAAAAAGTGAATAATCTTTTAATTCTAGACTAATACCTTGTTACACTAAATAACTGGATATTCATAGACTTCAAGCATCAGATGAAAATCTCCATCATCATTTGATATGCATTTCCCTTTTTTTTCTGTGAAGAGAAAATGGTGGTTCCACAGTGAAACGAAAGAGCCTGTCTCCCAGCCACCTTACGACACCAAGAGCACCCAGAGAAGTGATTTTCAAACGCCAGCTTGCCCACTGGTTTTGCCAGTCAGACCCAACAGGATGCGAAAGCCTTCTTGTGGAATAGGTAAGGTCAGCCATGGTAAAACTTTTTATTACGATGTGTTGGGCACCTCCTGAGAAAATGATCTCTCTACAGGAGTTGAAAATACATGGACAGCCAAGAGAGCCCGGGAAAGACTCTTAGTCCCTGACAGGGGACCCCACATCTCCAGACACTGGACGGACATTAGTCACACCAGCTTCCAAGTCAGAAACTCTGGAACACTCTGCCCAGTTTTGCCACCAAATTCTAAAAGCTGTAACTATTGGAATAACACCTAACCCTAAATGGCAGAATCTCAGAGTATGATCTGAGGGGTGCTGATGGTGGGTGTGGAATGTCCCTCCTAAGCTGGTGTGTCTGAACAGACCTCCAGCCAGTGATGTCTCTGTAAAGCCTTCAGAATGTGGAGGCCCCACCCCTTAGGGTAGTCCAACCCAACTTCCTGTTCTCTCTCCAAATCCTGACCATCAATGCAGTGTGACTGGCCAACTTCAAACATCTGCCACCATGCCTTCCCTGCCACAGTGGCCTCATTCCTCTGGAGCTATAAACCAAAATGAATCCTTTTTCTCTTAAGTCGCTTTATATCAGAGCATTTTGACTCAGCAGCAACAACAACAAAAAACAAAATGCTAATTGTTATTGATCTTTATAGATAGTGCTTACAAAAGAAGAAATAGTCGATTAAATTTTATGAAATGTGAATTTAAAAGTTAAATAAAAAATTAACCTGTAGAATATCCTTTTCTAAGAATAAGCATAATGATTTCCAAAGCATATTTCCCTGTTTTTTTTATCATCTCATTCTTATTTTTAGATCATGTCATGATCGGTGCTTAAAATACATAACTTAGGAAATACCATTTCAGATTATTAAACATTTTTAGATCTAAAATGATTTATTTGTCTATCACTGTAGCAAACCAAGTCACTTCTTGTTAAAACCATAATGCTAGTAAGAGTCAACAAAGGATTCCTTTTAAAGATCTTTAATGCTCTGACCTCTGTGATCTGGTCTGTTTAGCTGAAAATACATAGGTTAGCTAGACCAAAGGTCACAGCATTAAAAAATAGAAAATGATTGTATGTGTCATGCATAATTCCTAGCTCCAGGGTAGGGGTTCGTGTAAAGGCTAACTAGTCATCTCTGACCATGGCCTCTCCTTTAGAAAGAAAATTTCTGCTTCTGACTCATGATTTAGAGTGAGTACAGATAGCTCCATTTTCTGTCTCCTAAGACTATGAAATATCAGAGAAATAAGGATAAAGTGAATGGAAGGAATTTTTATGGAGTGTGTGGGAGAGAGAATGGAAGCCTACCGATGGGTCAAAGACAAAGAAGCATATGGAGATGGAACCTCCGGCATGTCAGCAGACACAGCAGAGGACAAGAACCAAGAAAGCAGGAGAGCATCACTCCAAGTCAGGCTTTTGGCATGGCAGCTTCTACTCTGTCTTAACACACCTTTAATCCCAGCACTGAGAAGTTGGAGGCAGGTGGGTCTCTGTGAATTTAAGGCCAGTCTGGTCAGTATAGCAAGTTCTTGGCCAACTGAAACTTATAGTTGAGACTCCATCTCAAAATTAATGAAAAAAGGAAAGAAAGGAGGAAGGAAGGAAGAAAGAAAAGAAGGAAGGAAGGAGAAAGAAGGAAGGAAGGAAGGAAGGAAGGAAGGAGGGAAGGAGGGAAGGAAGAAAGGAAGAAAGGAAGGAAGGAAAAGGGACTACTAAGAGCTGGAGAGATGGCTCAGCGACTAAAGAGCACTTCCTTCTCTTGTAGAAAACCCTAGCTTGGCTTCCAGCATTCACATGGCAGTTCACACCTATAACTCCACTTCCAGAGGGTCCGATGCCATCTTCTCACCTCTGCAGGCTCCTTCATGAACATGGTACACATAAACTCACACAGGCACACACATAAATATAGGTACTAGAGAACTCTTTTTTATTAATGAAGACTATTGGAGCCTAGACTTTTAGCCAGACAATAACTATCACACTGGGTGTACTGGAAAATCATTCTGATCCTTCTATTTTTAATCATGAGTGGACAGCCAAAACACAGAATTATGCCAAGGTAATTACCCTGGATAAAGACAAGGAAACATTAAGAGCATAAAACAAAACAAAAATCTAAAAAGTGTGAGCAAAGAGAAACCAGGTAGAGAGACCATCAGGAAGTTCAATTTTTCTGGTGCTATTTTCTGAAAGATGTAACACGAATTCTAATCAGTCTTAGTAATAAAAATCCAGAGTCAGATATTGTGGCAAAGGCTGAAAGGTCAGAGAGACAAAGGAGCCAGTCACAGCCACCTCTTAACGGCCAACTTCTCAGGTGGAAAGGGGGCGAGCTCCTGTTTCTGTCCTGGTTTATCACTTCCTCTCTCCTCCCAGCCATACCATTTCCTGTTTCCTCCCCCCAGGTGCTGGGATTAAAGGTGGGTGCCACACTGCCTGGTCTCTATGGTTAACTCGTGACTAGCTCTACACTCTGATCTCCAGGCAAGCTTTATTTGTTAGAGCACAAAATATCACCACAGAAAGGAGTAAAATGAAGGCGCGATAATGACTAAACCTGGTGTAGGAGGTTCTTTTGTTTATGTGTTGCTTTCATTGGTTGAATAAAGGAACTGTCTTGGCCTTTTGATAGGGCAGAACTTAGATAAGAAGGGAAGACAGAACTGGATGCTGGGAAGGACAGACAGACAGATGCCACGGTTCTCCTGCCCAAGACAGACGCTGGTTAGACTCATGCCAGTAAGCCAATAAGTGGCTAGAGATAATGGGCCAGGGAGTAATTTAATTAATATAATTTCTGTGTGGTTATTTTTGGGGTTAAGCTGACCGGGCTGTGGGATGCAGCCTGCTCCTCTTACTATATAAAACATAGCATTTATTGAGAACATATTGTTTGTCAGGTACTTTATAGAACTTTCAAACATAAACTCTGGTTTTAGTCTCAAATTAACTCTATAAAGCAGTCATTCTCAACCTGTGAGTTACAACTCCTTGGGGTCAAAAGACCCTTTTACAGGGGTCACATATCAGATATTTACATTCCAATTTATAACAGTAGCAAAATTACAATTATGAAGTAGCAACAAAAACAATTTTATGGTGTGTGGGGGGGGTCACCACAACATGAGGAATTGCATTAAATAGTCACAGCATTAGGAATGTCGAGAAACACTTCTATATAGTGCAAGGGTGTAGCAATAAAATTGTCATCCTCAGTTTTCAGATCAGACAGTATAAGATTGCAGAAGTTTACCTTACCCTTTTAGGGACTTTTGCTGGGCCTAAAACTTAAATTAACATGAAGATCAACAAGAGGAAAACACACACATTTTTAAGAGCACGTTTTTGTTTTTGTTTTGTTGTTGTTGTTGCTTTGTTTTTGGGAACTAGGAGTCTCATAAGGAAATGGAGATCAAGCGACATTGAATTGAGCCCGTGTGTCCTGATTTGGACAGAACTGCTTACAGCTTAGTGTAAAGACATCCAAAGGCAAAGGGACTTGGTTCAGGTTAGCCCACTGGGCGGAGAAGCTAGGAACTGGTAGAGAAGGTCGGGTACAGATGCCCTCCAGGCCTATTTCCCTGGAGTGAGATGCGATGAGACTGTGCTTCTGCTGGAGAAAGGGCCTCTTTTAACTGGATCTCATCTCGTGCTGCACGTGAATGTTTCCTACTTTCTCATGCTGTGATCTTCGATCCAGCTGATCTATGTATCTTCATCTAGACGGACCAAGTCACAGAAGTCAGAGCGTTCAAGACCTCTAAAAGGAATCCTTTGTTAATTCTTGTTGGCATTATGGTTTTAATAAAATGTGACTCAGTTTACCATCATGACATTCTTAGGTATAATCATTTTAGATCTGAAAATATTTAATAATCTGTGTAAGGAAGCTCAGAATGTTTCCCTTGCATCCACTCATACAACACTGAGGGTTTCATGGTGCATTTGTCTAAACAGTTTCCTTCACTCCCCTCCCTCCTCCTGTCCTCCCCCTCCAGTTCCCATTCTCCCAGAGGGTCCCCACTTTCTGCTTTCGACTATCCCATTACCTTCCCCACCCTTCCCTTAGGAGCTCTCCTTTCACGCCCCCTTTCTAACTTTATGATCTCCACACATACATATAGTCTCTCGCTCACACACATAAACTTTAAATTTGGGTTCCTCACATGAGAGAAAGCGTGTGCTGTTTGTCTTTCTCAGTTTTTCCTTGCTTCACTTAACTTCTATCCTATCCATTTTCCTGCAGAGGTCATGGTTTCAGTTTTCTTCATGACTGCATAATATTCCTTTGTGTGTGTGTGCCACACCTTCATGATGCACTCATCTGTAGATAGCTAGACAGGTTCTATTCCTTCCTGATTATTGCGAATGTGCAGCAATAACCACGGATACGTGAATGTCTCTGTGGTGCGCTGACTTAGCTAACTTTGGGTACCCAAGTGTGGTACAACTGGGTCATATGACAGCTCCATTTTTAATTTTCCTGACACCTCCAATCTGATTTCCATACCATCTACTGTTTTTCAGGCTCTATCAACAATCATCAATATATTAGAGGAGCAGGTTTCAGGGTGGCACCTTCAGCTAGCACAGAGTTTAAGTAGCTTGCTGAAGGCAGACGATTGGCTCAGCTGGTAGCTGGTTGCGGTGTCTGTGCTCAAAGCTAACACTCTGCTCAGCCTCTGAAATGGTAAAGAAATCACCCTATAAAAGGCATTGGAAGGGTGCACTGGGTGTAGCTGGATCTGAAAGAAAGAACATAGAAACATGTTTTGCTGTATCATGAAACAGCAAAACAAATTATGAAGAGAAGATTCTCAAACTTTCCATATGAAAACAAGAAAACTGTGACTATTTAAGAAACGATCCATGTGAAGTCCCCAGCTCATTAGCACATGCTCAGTGAGCTTGTATCTGTAGATTCTCAGGGGAAATCATACCCTAGCAGGTTTAAGTGGCATGGGTACTAGGACACTTTCTGGTGGAACCAGGCATTGAACTTA